TGTAATACACCAACCGGTATGTTTTTTATTAAAATATTTGTTAATCGCATTATCAGACATTGTTATGGAGAGATAGTTTTTGTTTACACTAGTAATATTTTTTTAATAAGGGTTTATTAAGTATACTGTGGATTTTTTTTCAAACTTTCACCGCAAGAGCCTTCTAAATCAAGCGTTAATCTTCAAGTTGTCTCGCAAGTTTTAATTAGATGTCAAACGGTGTACAATGTTAGTATTAGTGCTTCATATATACAAAATTTTGTTAAACTTGCGTTAAGTTTACTAGCATCTGTCACATCTTGTAATTTTAATTTTTTTACTAAACCCGAGAGCGAGCAAGTAGCAAATAGTATTGTTTACGTGAAAATTAAGCCAGCGGTTTCGATGAACGAACTTTGAACAAAGATATCTCTCCATAACAATGTCTGATAATGCGATTAACAAATATTTTAATAAAAAACATACCGGTTGGTGTATTACAGGGTTTCTAAAAGAATACTAATTGGCCGTTTTTTTATTTAAGGGTTCACGGCCCGATCACAAAGTAGCGAAAACGTGTGAGCAAATCCTTGGCAAAAGATACATATCCACAAGCCAAAATTTACGAATTATGAAACTAACAACGGGACTGTTTATGATGGGAGAATAAAAAATATAAATAATTTCTCTCCGCTCGAGGTAGAATCTGCAAGCCTTTAATTATGATAAATTTAAGCTATGAAAATTTTTATAATTATAACTTCTTTAGAAAGGAAATCCCCTTTCCAGGATGAAGTTGAGAGAAAAGAAAAAACAAGTACATTATGATGAAAACCAGATTTCTCGGATTCCTCAGATTCCTCAGACTATCCAAAGCCTAAGAGAGTTAGTGATACAGACATATTTTAGATTACTTTTAAACTTTAATAATTGACTTTTCTACAATCTTCGATTCAGGTAAAAAGACAATCCCAGGAGGAAAAGAACTAGAAGAACAATCTGAAGATGCAAAACTAATGAATGGAATGGAGGGCGAGGAGGGCGAGGAAGAAAAGTCTGCGGATAACATAGATGAAATTGACGATAATGAAGGAAATAATCATGATGATAATTCTAATATTTTTGGTACTCAGACACAAACTGAAATTACAACCACTGAAACGCGCCCAACAATGTCATCTATATTTCGTTTGAGTATGCGACTGATAGTACTGGGATGGATGTGAAGGCTATGTGATTGCTTTATCCACTCAGCCAGGCTAACATTATTAGTACTTGGATTCGTATTTTTGTATGTAATCAATGCTACTTTCTGTTCGCTATTAAGAGTTGTTTTGTTAGTCATGCCAAGGGTATTGCAATATCAGATATTGAAACACGAAAATTTTATTACAAAAGATCTAATCACATGACGTGCATTTAGGGGGGTGATGGGCCATGCCAATAGGTCCCATCAGTGTTAATCATGCACTTAGGAATTAGGGGAGTTGCACTTAGGGAGGTCCCACTGTAAATAACTTTGTAAGAACACTTTCTATTCGGCACGTGATAAATCATAATGTATTATTGTTATCGGAAAATTTTAGTCTGGCGTTTAGATATTATCGACATCACTCCGGTTTCAACTAGTAATTTTGTTCAATCAATACCAAATGATGCAGTGCAAGGTATGAAACAGCCAAAAACGTTTCCCACACTGATTTTATTAAGTTATCATTGTTTTCGTTATTTTTAATGCAAATATTTTGTTGCTTTACGCTTAAAGTCTCATTATTTAGACAAATAAATTACGTAATTTCGTGGAGGAGAGTTATTCAAAAACACTAGTCAATAATAAACCAAAATTCGTATGGGACTATCTGAACATTCTATAAGAATCAGGGATTATTTTAATAGATATGTTTCTTCGACTTTTCTCATGTTCAAATTTTTTTTTTAGCGTCGAGTCGTTTGAACGAGACAACGACCTCACAAATTACAATTTGTCCGAATTTATATCGCGAAATACTTTTTACCCCTCTGATTCGTAGTCTTTTTCGTGGCACACACCGGGAGATGGATATTTATTTGTAGGTCTATTGCGTTTTAAATTTTTTTGATATCAATTTTTTTCAACAAAATTGTAATGTACCAGATGTACCTTCACCTAGCGGTGAGAAATATTTGTTGCTTCAACAGAAGACCGTAACCGGGAAAAAAAAGATGGCGAAGACCGTAATTTTGGCTGCCAAATCGATATTATATGGTCTATGAAGCTAACCGATATGGAATTCTCTATTGGAGAAATCAATGGCCCACCAAACCAACTCGATCACTCACATTTCTTTAACTAAAATTGCGAAACTGTTAATAAAAGTTATTATAATAGGATTGTGAAGAAGTATGGTGGAACAGGAATGTATATGAATTTAGTAAAGTTGAATGGCCTACATGTGTATTGTAAGTATTGCTAACTTTGAAAATTGTCAATATTATATATAACTGACATTCTCCTCTTACAGATAACGAAGTAATTGTGTACGAGATGTCGATTCCGTTTGTACATTTTTGTGAAGTTATGCGATCGAAATTGACCCGCGATATTACAATCTGTGTCGGTGTTCCTTAAATTCAAGGTTTGTTTTTACTGACGCACGCACGTTTATTAATTATAAATAAAGGTCTTCTGCCTTTTTACAAACTTTTAATTGTCATTAGGAATTGCTTGGAAAAAGTTTGGCCAACCTGAGAAAATATATTCAGGATGCGTGTACCCGTACACCCGATAATAATGAAAATGCACACCTGTTCAATACACTAACTGATTTGACAAAAAAAGAAAGTGACCTTGACATTTTGTCAAAATGTTTTTAATAATTATTTAATCGTTTTCTAATACTGCATACGTAATTCGCCACTTATCAAGAGTCATTCTTATGAGGAGAAAGGTGTTACTCATCCCTTGCCTGAAATAGAATATAGCTCAACCAAATCTGAATCTTCGACGGAGCCTGAAACATCTACGACCTCTTCTATTATCGATTATGATTCAGCCGAGACTCTCGAAGTTTTAGAATACACAAGGAAAGAATTGATAGTGAGATAAAAGAAAGAAACCGGAAAAGAATCACATAATAACTCAACTTTACCGATACGATTCGAAGCATCAACCATGTCAACACCTAAATCTCTGGACTCGAAAACTGTGAAAAATCTTTGGGATCAGAATCAAAATAAAAGCCTGGACAAAACATCCCAATCGCACAAGAAAAAGGGAACAGAGAATATCGTTCAGGTGATAGCTGATGGCATTCAGGATATTATTATTTCAGATGAGTCTCGAAGCTTTGCACTTCCTCAAAGCATGTGACTGAAATTTCAGCGACGGTCCATCATTACTCGACTTGGCACAATTATTTGATAAAGCAACAAATGCTGAATATTATGCTACAAAAGCTAACCAGGAAGAAACCGTATGCTGGATTAACTATGGAAAAAATTTTGTAATTCAATATAATGATCTTATAAAAAACAGTAATTGCGAGGAAAGGGCGGTATAATTTATGATAAAATATTAGAGCATCTTACTATTATCCGTGAAAATAGATCCAAGGAAACTGGATTACAGCTCCCAGAAATCTCGCGTAAAACTTTGTGTAGAAAAACTCAAAAGGCTATAAAGATTTATAAATTATTCGAAAAAATAGGCATTGATAAAATTAAGTATCTTAAAGCATACGGTGCAAATTCTATTTCAGAATTGACAAACGATCAAAATCCAAAAGATATTTCTGAATATAACGAGAAATCACATGAGTGGAATTCGACGACGGCCCGTCGCCAAAAATCATACAACCGAAATTGTAATACTTACCAGAAACTGAGGTAAGTGCATTTTCTGAGAAGTTGTCACCGGAAAAACGATTTCAGAGGAATCAACCGAGGCAAGTGCATCATCCAATCGAACTTATGACCATGTTTACTTTCGTAATAAGACATTGTTACGATATTCTGATATAAAATATTTATTTCTGAAAAATTTATCGTTATGGAATTATTGAGAGTTCATTATGCCCAGTATCATGGAGATGGAAAACGTGTAAAAGGTAGATACGACTGGATCCTATTTTATTATATGTGGAAAGCGTGAAATCGAAATAACAGAATAAATCGTAAAATCATCCAGGTATAGCCACTATGTGACTGCCTTCGGTAATTACTAATTAACGATATTTATTATTTTTTAATTACTATTTCGGGGTATGCACAGTGTTTAAGACAACTCATACTTAATTGAATTTGCGGTCGTATAAAACAATAATATGGATAAAGCCTAACATCTGAATATTTGGACTGGTATGCTAAATTGGTTGAAGTATGAACAGATGTTCACTTTGTCTGCAGTCTGCCCCATTTATTCTGAGAACCCGTCAGTTTTGCAAAAATATAATTGTTAGATTTTATGTGTGATTCGTGTCTGTCGAATCCAATTAACTTGTGCCGGGTTAGAAAATATTGGGTTAGATCTTGCTTTGAATCCCAACAAGTTAGGTGACATTAATGAAGTGCTCTCAGAAAAGCTTGCCAATTATCACTGTAACCCCTTTTTTTACTCAAGTGTCTTAAACCATCTTAGTACAGATGAACATTTCAGAAATATTACATTGTTGAGGCGATGATTATGGAATTATTTGTCACATTTTTCACGTTCGATCAATTAGATGAGTCAGCAGTAATAAGGATGAACAGTGCTGTAACTTGCATTCGGCTAACTGTTTCTTTTCCTCATTTTGTCCATTTGGGTAATCGATTTGTAATAATATTTTTCTCTTTAAAAGCATACCAATCCCATCTGTTCTCACTTTTTTCGTCACATGTTTCATCTTGGATTAATCTGATCTTTTAGCGAGCAATTACAAATATTCGCAAGTAATTGTCATAATAGCAAATATGAACAAATATGACGCTTCATTGGCTCTTAATAAATTGAATCTTTTTCAGCTTGGGACGACCGCATAATGGATTTGAATTTTTGAAGTCACGAAATTATTCAAGATCTTTTCCGCACACTCTCAGCAGGATCAGCCCAACGAAGGACTCGAAAACTCTATATACTCATTCAAATCTCCGATTAATTTGCACATGAAACCGTATGCATTTCATGCGCATATCATCAGAAATCCAAACCTTGCTGAATGTTGTGTTGCAACTTTTTCTTGTGAAACTAACTGGCCAAGAACTCCGACGCCTCCACCAAAAATTACTACTAATGTGGTGTTTGATGCTGAAATAGAACATAACATTTTAACTGCCGGTGGGTTGAATGTACTTTTTGGTGGATTAACTGGCAGCACAACCCACTCCGCAGCTCGTCATTACTTACACCGTATGGAATAATAAAGAATGACTAGCGGGATAGAATACAGTCTTATAGTCGTAACGACAGTCTAGAAAGTGCAGAGCAAAAACAAATAATAAAAACAAGAAATCTCAACAACACCAACAGAAATAATCGATCGCATATGGATTGTCATTACCAATCGGGGGGTTATTGAATCGAACAAAAACAACATAGCAGAACGAAGGCAACTACCTATTTCCATTACTGATCAGCGATACTCGTGTATGGGGGGCGTTTGAAAATCCCCCAGAAACCGATTATTTCCAAGTTCAGACTTTCCCCCATCACCGCCCGTCTTTCGGGGACCTGATTCTCTTGTCTTCTTCACTTGTAAACTTTGTCTTTATTAAAATGTACTTTACTAATATAACATATGCAGGAAGTACATCTAATAGTTTCTACCATACTATGAATGGTATCACTTGTGATCCGTATTCGGATAGCTTACTTTGCGGGAAATTTTGACACGGAAACAGCCGGTTCGCTATGTTCACATCGTATGGTGTTGTTAATATACGAGTCTTACCAAGAACGAACAAGCTCTAAAAATAATAATAATAATAATAAAATAATAATAACGACATGTGCTTGTTAGGACGAATAACGAGGTAGTTTTCGTTGGAATAAATAACGTAATTGAAATTTGCCTTTGCCAAAGAAAGCGTTTAGGATTTGAATGCAGATTATCGTATGATCACCACTAACTATATACGGAATTGATAAGCGAATATGGCTGACAAGGCAATACCAATTGCACCAACGCTGGCTTCAACATAATGGAAAGTCATGCACAAACATTGGTCCTGTGACTACGGGAAATGGACAGTTAAGAATTGAATTAAAAAATCTGTTCAAAACGTTAGTATTCCTTATATGCTTAATTAAAATTTTTAACTGTTCTATCAACAATAGGCACTTGACGACCAAAAAACATCAAAAACCGTTGTATAATTTATTACAAATAGAATTAATTTCCGACTCGTTTATACTGGTGTTTGTTGTTTGGGCCATTAAAGCACCAATGGTTTCTCTCCTAATTTGTCGCATGTTCTCTTTCAACCAATAAATTTGATGATTTTTTTGGCGCTCCCACACTTTGAAAGACAATCTCGTTGTAGAGAATGACTACATATGACTTCACTGCAACGCAAAATAAACTTGTACATTATTGTTTACATTTGTAACAACGTTTACATATTACACGCATTCTCGTTAAAGTTTTCTTATCATCCCTAAAGAATCGGGCGAGTTTTGAAACAACGGTACACGCTATATAGCTGTTGCACTTAATTGAGAAGACGTTTGGAATACAAATAAACTGAATAGTAATACCGATGTCTATGATAGTTAATTATCATGATATTGTTATGACGAATATCATATCGATTGTCGTGTCTAACTTATCTATTAAATGAAATGAGGTTTGCAACTTTATTATTGGTTTGTTGGTTTTTTAAGGAATTTGTTGACGGCAAAGTCCGGAGAATAGCGATGTGTTTTCTGAGTGAGCTTCCAGAGTCTGATTGTAACGCATCGAATCGTGTACTCCAAATATTGGTGAAAGAAAAAGATAACGGGATTAAAACAGTATTATAGTGAAAGCGCGAATGATTCTGCAAAATGTTGCACGATAAAATTACTTGCTTGGGGTATACGAAATATGTGGTACATTAATGTATATGATCGGACTGTACGATATTACGGCAGATGGCTTCATCATCGTCTGCAAAGATATGAGGGGAATGTTAAACAAGGCATCCATGTCAGCGGGTGAAATCCGAGATATGCGTGCGTAAGTTCCCTGCGTCTAACGATTCAGGGTAGTGTTGGCTCAGGAGTGGTCGCAAACAAGCAAGACTATTAAAACCAGTCATTAGGTCGATGTCAATTACTTTTTCAGTCTATTGTCAGTATCCAACCACCCAAACGTTGCCCAAAGTTGCCTAATACAATATAAGAAATAACAATTAAGGTTGTAAATAATCTCTATCCGGGACTTACGATTGTTTATTATACAGGGAATTATAATCAGTTAATGAGCCAATATTGTCCACATTTCCATATCTTTCTTAATAGGGGAGCTTATTCAAGGGTGTCTGATAAAGAGACTTGTTTACGCCATTGTTTATTGCCATAATGTTAAATTTTAATCAGCGTAACTGAATATGAAGATCATGATATTGTGTGATTAGTGTCACCACGACGATTATTTAATTCAAATAGCCGAATTTGTTTCATCACTAATGCCAAGGTTGATTCTGGCCACTGTAGAAACAAAGATGTCAGAGCGGTGGCACACGGGTAACGTCTCTTATATACAGAAGTTCTGCATTTATTTATAATCGTATGCGTCATCCTATGTATTTACTATATTGGTAAGTAGCACTGTGAGACTGTTACGTTACAGCGCTCTATTTATGTGCAAATAACAACAGGAAGTCTATTGTCTTCAATGATATCATCCTTTTGAGTAAAACAAAATCTGGTCGAACGTAACGAAGGACACACATACTCTGATACCGTTCGCTCTTCCTTTCTTTGCTCCCTATGCCTCCCCATTTCGCCAACAGACTTTTCTTCCCCTACTGTTTCTTATCATCGGCCGTGGTAATACATAAATCCCTTTGATATCTATTTTGGGACACACTAACCTAGTATAGACCTGCGCCAAAAACTGTTATCCACACATGTGGCTTCCATTGTTATTTTAGTAGGCGGATACGTGACACAAGGTATATATAGACAAAGTAAAATAAAATTTTTTACGGTATATTTCTTATCCATTTACGTATGTGTAACAATAACAACGAACTCGGCATACACAATACGGGCATTATATGATGAATAATAGAAAAATTGCATTATTACCTAAAATCTAGGACCCAGTCTTCCAAAGCGTATATTTATTTTACATTTGTAGAATACAATATGAGTATTTAATTTATTATTTGATACAGTTATCTGTCAGCCTCTATATAAATATAGCAATGAAGACATCTTCCAAGCAGTTATTTTCGCCATCCTCGTCTTCTCTCCCGCTCCCTCTCTCATTCCCCCGGCTGGGCTTAGAATGCTCACCAAACCATACATTAGAAAAAACATTGCGCTTGTCGCTGTGTTATAATTTATTATCTTTACACTATTAACTATATACACGGTCAACGTTTGTAAATATTCAATACACATAAGATTAACCTTTTATCATTACCGCACATTCTTTGCTACCGACCTTTCATTCTAATACGATAAATTTATTGACAACACTCTGGTGACTGTCAACAAGAAGACAACGATTATTTCATACCCCTTTGCTAGTTCATCTTCCGTCGTATCCTTGCTAGCATTGAATCACATTCCCACCTTCTTCCCCAGCCGCCTTCATTATATTGTTCGAAAATGCCTCACTCCTCTAGCGATTTAACTTTTTTGAGTAAGTATAGTCTCGTTCAAAATGAATCGATTAAACGATAAACGTATAGCTCTAACGACATCTCCTCAATTCTATTGAAAAATAATAGCGCGGGCAGTCTTGATAGTATGGACCTACTTTTGGTTTCTTCAACATGCTTGGAGAATAGACCGCTTCCAAGCATTACATTGGCATCGTATAAAAAAGTATGAACTGGTGAGTGTGTGTGCCTGTTTATCACGGAGAATTATTAAAATCAGTACTTGACTAATTTTGATGTCACCTGATGACATTAATTACAAGATGTACTGCACTACTATTTTATTACCTGTTGTGTTCTCGCGACGTCCCTAACGTATCTCGTTTTTAATCATGACATTAGAAAACCGCCATAACCATCCTTCTGTTAATAATGGCCCCACTGCAAGTTTTCTCCGACATAATCTCAACAATCGTAAAATATCAAGAAGGCTTCATGATCTTACCTAACGTTACTCCCTCCACTCCTATTTCTCCGGCTTCTGTACTTGCATCCGGAGAAATAATAACGAAGCCGTACATCTTATGGACACAGGCTCACAAAAACTGGATACTACCTTCAGACTATGTACTTTGTGCGAGTTTCAGCGTCCAAGTGTGAGTATTAAACGGCTGACTGCCTGGAAATTGCTTGAAGACAGTTTATCTAATTGCTTATGCTCATTCTTGCACAGTGGCCTTTTATTCCTTTTACAATCGTTTTGGAATTACCTTGCGGCCAATGTAGCAAAAACGTCTTTCATGGGGAGCTTCGGTGAGTCATTTATTTAACAACTCGCTTCAATGCGATATTTAATATGTCAAACAACTTACATTATTTCTCTATACAGAATTCAAGTCCTATATCATATTTTCTGTATTCAGCGCCGCTGTCTTTCCAATACTAAGATTCACCTTTCGCCATAATGATTTGAATTCTGATGTATTCCCTCAGCTAGCGTATGGTGTATTCCTGTTTATAATAGCGCTCTTAGGGATCCGCTCTAATCAGCGATTTACTATGCTTCTCCGTAAAACGGGACAATCGATTCGACCGAGCGTAGTTGCAAAGTTGGAATACTTCAGAGACATGAATTTGTATTTGACGATGGGATTAATAATTGGATCGGTCTCAGTCTTAATATTGTGCGTTGATGCATTGACACCGAACCAGTGGCTAAACAGGAGAAAATTCACGGCGGATCTGTTAATGGTCCACGTCAGCGTCGCCATGTGGATAGTATTCTTGACGCTAATTTTAATATTTTATCCGTCGGGAAGTTCAGCTAGCGATTCAGCCACAATAAAAAGCGCCGTATCCAACAAATCAGCCGTAAACGAAATTCCCACACAAGCATCCATAAGACCACAAACCCGTACACATACGTACGACAAACTAAATACTCCAGAATCATCCCAACTATCGAGCTACGTTGTCGAAATGTCGGAAGATAATAACGGTAGCTTCCCTCCACCTCATCTCTCACGTCCACCACGATCGTATTCAACGGACGATACGCCATCCCAATCACAAACAACTTTGATATCAACACCACCACCGTTCTCTCCAACCCCAACCACTTCACCAAAGTCTGTGTCGTCACCACGATTACCACTGTATTCACCCACACCTGTGAGACAAGTACCATCTGTCAAAATGTGGGAAGGGATGAAATATCCGTTACAAACATCGAGTAATAATAGTTCTGATGACATTGGGAAGACAAACCAAACGAATGTGGACGAGGCAGAGAGTGGAGAACCTCCTGCATATGTTATTAGAGATCTCCGTAAAGGACAGTCACAAACACAAGGACAACCGCAGCAAGAGGCCTATCCTCTGTCGCCCACAGAACTAGCTCACCAGAAACGCGATTCCCGTAAAGTAATAACCCCATCTCTGTCAGAAGGCGATCTCACATCGACTTCTTATTCGAATTCTCTTCGATCTTCTACTCTCCTGACGCAACAACAACAAGAACGATATCCGTATCCTCGCGCAACTTACGTCGGAAGTGGGGCCTTTATGCCCCCCAACCACAGACGAACGGAGAGCGATGCAATAACGGGAGATTCTTATGACGGCATGGGAAAGCGAGCGAGAAGGGCGAGTTTGATGCGAAGTGGGAGTTCACCTAGTCTGTTTTTGCTTAATTCGTCGCCCGTGTTACAATCACCGACTACACCATTATCACCAACAAGCGACATGATGCCAACATCGCCTACAAATTTTACAATGGACCATACACACGGAGCATCTAAACGATGGACAAGATGGGATACTAACAGGCCGACTGTGTCAAAAGCATATACGGATACGCAAAGCTCATCATATGAGGCTTCCACCAGATCGCCAGGATCTCCACGATCGGCTGTGCCATATTCACCTAGAACTGTCACGTCTCCTACATCTCCTAAATCTCCTAATCAACAACATTCATATCAGCGATCGATTCCTGCAAATCATTCGCCTTTGGTGCCTCGACGAACTTCCAAAGTGGACGATGTTGAAATGGTGGCAGTTAGGTCGAGGCGGATGTCAGTGGCTAATGGGAAGAAGCAAGTGAGGACAGATAGTGGTGGATACGAGCTGCAGAGGGGATTAGACTCACCGACGATAAGAATTTCTACTTTTAATGATTCGCATGAGAATATTACTCATGCATTGTAGATGAGCTTCATTTATATATACATATTTTTATCTAATTTATACTGGTTGGTTACTGTTCGTTTGGTTTGGTTTGGTTTGGTTGTCTGAATGGGATAGATATAGTCTGTGATAATTAAATGTAAATTTTTTGTATATTGTTTTCTTTACTTCATGGGTTTACGTAGTTGGAATCTTGATGGCTTAATTTTTGAGGTAAAAAAAAAGTCTATCCTGGACAAAGTAATAGTATTTTCCATTCTTATATTTATTTCAACTTTTACAAATCAAGTGTTTAAAGTAAAAAAAAAAAGTTCAATCTGTAATAATAAAGCAAAATTATAAGACTGTTTTAACATGTATATCGTAGTGCAATCGGCCTGTTATATTATTGTATATCGATATTAAAGCTAAATTTAGCTTTCATTTGTAAATTACAAAAGACATACACAAGTCCACGAGCCACAACCATTATTGTTGATTTCAGCCACACTGTTTATTCATCACGTGAAGAATTTGACATTTGAGTTGTCAGTCCTCGTAAACTGTCACAATTATTGACAATGGACTTCCTGACAAGAGGTTATAAGGGCTTATTAGGTGAAAAAGGTCAACCACAGACGGCAGAAGATACTGTGATTAAGTTATGTGACAGAGCGGCGAATTCCACTCTTCTTGAAGACAGGAGGGCTGCTATTCTGGGACTCAAAGGGTTGTCCAGAGAGTACAAACTGGTAAAGAACTTATTGATGTTGATTTCACGTTGCGCGTTTACAGTATATACTGAACAGAGATGCTTTCTTATACTTCAAGGAAGTAGGCGATAAAGGATTGGGCGTGCTGTTGAAGATATTGAGTGAGGATAGAGCAGACATCGATACAGCAAAAGCTATTCTCGAGATTCTGAATATATTATGTGCACCAGATAGAGTAGAGGTTGGTTGAATGTAATTTGCTAAGAATATGTCCATTATGTTATAAAGAGAACGAATCATAATTGATCTATAGGATGTAGGAAGAGATCTTGGACTACGATTCACTGATGAAGTTTTGCAAGTAAGCATAAACAATTATACGTCGGAATTGGTCTTAGCGTAGTCGTCACAGTTAAATTTACCTCATTTGTAACTTACTGACTCGGGAATTCGTTCTTTATTGATAGGATGAATCACATATACATCTGTTCCTTGATCTCCTCCAAGAAGTCGACTTTTATGTTAGGTTCCACGATATTCAATTGCTCGCTACCCTACTGACAACAAGACCGGATAGAGTACAGGACTATATCTTGACAGCACCTATGGGAATATCTAGACTAATGGATTTATTGGATGACCATCAAGAGGTTATACGGAACGGTTAGTGTGACGATAATTCGCTTTTACTGCATTGTTATTGAATAGTAAACAAAACAATTAACGTTCATAAACTTTAGAGGGTCTACTACTTTTGATCTCATTGACAGAGACCAACGCAGATATTCAAAAGATTGTCGCGTTTCAAAATGCATTTGATAGATTGTTAGAGATTATTACTGCGGAAGATGGTTTGAATGGAGGAATTATAGTTCAAGATTGTTTACAATTGACGCTGAACTTATTGCGTTATAATGTCTCCAACCAGGTTAGGATAGTCGTATTCAAGCAATTAAATGAGCGTTTCTACATTTATGCATGATTGAGTATTATCGCGTCTTTAACTAACATGACGTTTTACAATTTAAAGAATTATTTTAGGGAAACAAGTTGCATACAGAGGATATCTGGATTACTGGGATATCCATCTACGTCAGAAGATAATGTTATCGATTATCATTTTTCGGATTGGCATGATCAAGGAACGAACAACATTCTCGTGTTATTGGAGCTCGTCAGAATACTCGTTGCCCCAAATAACACCAACACAACAACAAATCAAGTAAGCACAAATTACCACCGTGTGGGCAGAATTAAAAGCTATAGGGTGTGATTGACGCATGTGCGTTCAAGAAGCACAACACAGCATAACAATACATGTACGCATGTTAGAATCTAAAGGTTTTTGTATTCCTTACAGCGTGTAATGAACCAATGTGGGATGTTAAAACCTGTGATTGAACTTGCATTGGCCTCCAATGCCCCCTCTCCAGCGAAAACACAAGTACGTGATATTCCTTTCGCTATTCTCTTTGTATAACGAAAGTGTTCTATTTTTTCGAGTATTGTATTTATTGTTTGATCTTGTATCTGTCTTTTATTCTGCGGGCTTTTTCTATTACCGCTTTAGGCATTCTATGCTTTAGGCGATCTTGTACGCGCAAATCAAACAAATCAAGAAGTGTTGGCGAGAGCGCGTGTAACCGTACCAATTCCAACTTACAGATCAAATGAATCATCAACTTCACACTCTCGAACCACATCACAAAGCAGCGCGCATTTGTCGTTCCAAGAACAAGCGCAAGCAATGCCTCCTCGCTCAGCTATTATGGGCCTGATCGCTGTTGCCGTTGGAGCCGAACCCGAGAGTTATGGGACTAGAGCCGCTGCTACGTATGCGTTTGAGGTTAGACTCGATTGGGGAGTAGGGTCAAATTAGTGACTTTTGATAATTTTGTTGTGATGTCGTTATTATTTTTGTAGGCATATATAATGAGCAATGTGGAAGCGCAAGTCCTGCTTGCATCTTCTCTAGCACCTCAATCTGATGCTGCAAATAACTCTGATCAAATAACAGGTTATACAAATCTAAGCTTACATGTGCTAACTCAAACCCAATTCCATATACTTACCTGTTTCTAATTGTTAACAGCGGGAGCGCAATCAGCCGGAACGCTGCTTCTAGCTGCCCTTCTGGAATGGGAAGATTCTGCTGCTGATCCATACGTTGTCTGGTTTGCTTCGGTGATATTCTCACACATTCTCTTGCATAACGAACGATCAAAAGACATAATTCGTGGTATTTACACCGCTGATGCCGATTCAACCGATGAGGGGGCACCGCTGTTGCAACTTATTGTAAAGAATTTGAATATTGCTAATAAGAATAACGCGGATGTGAGAGTCCTGATTGGATATCTGTGTTTGCTATGCGTGTGGCTATGGGATAGCCCAAAGAGCGTTGGTGATTTCCTGGCCGAGGAATCACATTTGCAGATGGTATCCTTTTCAACATCGATTAAATTGACGAATTTTCCTGAGTCGCACGGGAAATTTGTGAAAACACGTTATTTGTGGTGGAACTATATATGCATATATTATTTATTTATTTATGTCCAATGTTTGCCTTAACTGAAATGTCCGCTTAGTTGATTACTCTAGTCGCCCAATCGTCTAGTGTCGATCCACGTGTCCAGGGTCTTTGTGCGTTTTTATTGGGAGTATGTTATGAGTTCAATAATGAATTGGAGGGCTCTAATGTTTCGAGGTAAATAATACTGATATCAGGGATAAGTTGACAGCAATATATTAAAGTCAAAATTACTTTGTTTGATAGGTCAACACTTTATCCTATTTTAATCAACCGCATCGGAATCGATTTATTTGTTAACCGTATCACACGGCTGCGTGAAGCACCACATTTTAAACATGCATCACAGTACCTTTTTGTAAGTAAAATTAGTTTTGCGGCATTGACTGATGGCACAGAAATGACTACAATGACTGATTTGTTCAATCCATATAATCTAGATCTCACCTAATGAACTTAAAGCTTTGCCTGACTTGTACTTCGATTACCAATTTGCGGAATTCTTTAAGGATAATTACGGTAAGTGAATGCTTTAACGGGCTTGTTTACCTTCTGCTCATTGCCAATATCACGATTCATGCATTCTGCTTTTTAGAAACCATTCAACGCTCTATTCGGGTCGATCCGAAAGCAACGCGATCGCCTCGTCATAGTACCGACACCAACGGCAACGATAACGACTCGTTTTCCTTATCTGCCATAACTTCTCTCAAAGGCGTAATCCAAACACAGGAAGCCCAAATTAATGAACTAAAAGAGAAAATCAAACAGATGGAGCTTGAATCTAAGGTACGACTGTATAGCTTTTGACCATTGTAGTTATTTGTACAAGGAACTAATCGTATTGTCTTATGTTGTTGTCTCTGTTGTCATTAGAATTCTGTTGATAATGGCCCTGCATCAGTTGCACGACAAACGCTTGAATCGAACGATGAGAAATATGCAATATTGGAGTCAAAATACATTGCGTTGGAGAACAAGTATGCACAGTTGAACAAAGAACACGAAGATCTACTTGAATGCCTTACTGAGCATGAGGAGAGTATTAATAAATACCGGACAAGGTTAATCGACCTCGGGCAGACTGTTACGGACGATGAAGAAGAGGAGGATGACGAAGAGGAGGATGACGAAGAGGAGGAAGAGGAGGAAGAGGAGGGAGAAGAAAAAGACTAGTCTGATTTGTGGTAAAGAATTATGGGACATCTTATTTATATTATTGCCTAATACTTAACGAATCTTAGACTACCATTGTATTATTAATTTCTTCTGATGTATTATGCACTCTTTCATTTATATTAATTGGGCACGCATCAGATGCGTATGTTTTGTCACCATTAATCGAAATTTGACGTTTAGAGTACTGCCGAGGATTATAACTATCGGCAATTTAATGAGTCGAATTGTTATATAGACTTGGATAATTTTATTACGGATAAATCTGATATTGATATTACAAACTTTCTATTACAATTTGTCACCCAGTGTCTTAAGCAGTCCGGGTGCCTTTGTTTGTCCACTTGGCTTCCTTAGAAACGGATTTTCTAAAGAAATATAAATATAAGTTCATTGTGCTATCCAAACACGCCCCTTATCATGCACTTACTTCTATGCGAAGGGTCCGCCTTATGCGTTAAATTAGCTTTCTTGAATATCGGTGCTTCCTCTATGTGGTTATTTTCCTCATTCACATCCATCTCTTCAGCGTGTCGCTTTACGGTTTGGTTGGGCGCATCGTTATGCCGCGTTGTTGTTGCTTCATCCCCCATCATGACGTCAACGTCACCATCTTCTGTTGATCTGTGCGAAATTGGATTAATAAATATAATAAATACATAAGATAAAAATGGTAACAAATTATGCTCATTTACTTTTCATGCTGAGGCGACATTTGCGGGCTATCCTGTACAGTGAGTGATGATGTATTTGTAGTTACTTGCACTTCTGGTTGTTGCAGTGGCGGCTGTAACGGTATACGCTGCCGTGATGTGATTTTTAATGGAGGTTGTCTGCTTTCTTCTGTGCGATATGCCTGTTTTAATCAATAGAAATAAATATGTTATACAATGATTTTACCATGGCCGAAGTTGTATTGAATTAAAATAATAACCTTATTCAATGCATTTATTCTCTCTGCCAGTTTCGCATAGTTATTATGCTGAGCAATCTTTATAGCAGCTTCTATTGTTGCCGGTGAGTTCAACAATGTCGCTAAATCATAGGCGCGCTCTATCTTTTCCGCTTTGCATGCCATCTGGGAGAACAGACACGTATTGAGAATGACGGTATTTTAAAACATCTATAACTTTTCGGATGTTGTTAAGTATACACGTACCTGAATAAGCTGTAGTAAAATTTTATCGATCTCAGTGTACTTCTTACGGAACTCGAGTTGTCTTCGTCGGTACTCATTTCTAGCTTCTGCTTCCTGCTGTTCATAGTCTATCAAAGTGTTCATGCGCATATACCTGCAATATGAAATCATGTAAATAAAGTCAATAATGATAGATGATGTATATAGAATGAAGCCACTCACTTCTCTTCAAATTGGCCGATAGGTTTGTCAATTTGTAGTAACGGCATCTGGAAGCTAACTTCATCTATTGGTGGTCTTGGGAGCGAAGGATGCTCCTGTCCATCCTATTATTGACACAATTTAATGTAAACATCGGGAAGACCGCTAGATTCTGACAGAAGTAAAGCAATTGGCCTAATATACCTTGCATTTTACACACATTAATTCCATGTCAAGTATTCCGACAGGCCAATACGTTACTGTCTTTCCTTCTTCTTTTGGTATCGTAGATGTATCCAATATTGGTATCCAGCGTGCCTGACGAGGCTCACGATGACGATGAAGAATGCTCAGAACTCCTTTTGAATCGTAAATGGCCGGTAACTCAATGATGACAAATAAATTTCAAGATAATAATGTTATTTTCCCACCGATCTAGCAACAGACAGATTTTTTTGCATGCTTACTCCATCTTGTGAAAAGTCCAGCCAATTCAAAACTGCTCCGGTTGATAATGGCAAGTGGCCGTCTTGAATAAAATCATGCGATTCAATATTATACAATATATATCCCAGGTTTTGTGATCCTAGCAACATAAATATTAGTGTAAAGTAGCAACTTACAGGTGACATATCTGAGCGTCGTATTATACCTTTCAGTCCTGGGCCTACATGGTAAATAAACATGGCAAATTCATCATTGGCTGTCATGCATACGATCGATGGTAGAGAAAAGACTTTTGTCTGAACTCCTCCACTTGAAAAAAATCGTATATAGTTCTTCGAGGTAGCCGCAATCGGACCTTTGCCACTCAAGGCCAAAGCTAATATCGTAACCGGTATGCTCGCTTAGTAATCTAGGTTATCGTGATATAATGCATTCATAATTACCCGTCACGCATTCTCCTGATGGAAGTTCTAATGTCCATTCGCCTCGTGAATTCCGTGTTTCTGGTTGGAATGAGATCACACTTGGACCACCAGTACTTGACTCGGCCGCAAATGCTGCTCCTTGCCTACCTGTATAAAATTTTGCATTTGCAATTAACGTGATTTGAACTTTTTGCTCTCAGTACGTAAATAACTAACCATTACATACCCAAGCAACCCATAGAAAAGTTGTACAAGTCAGTGAAATGGTACGGTCGACATACTGATTTGTCCAAGTATTCAACACTTACTGTCGAATGTGTTCCTTGATCGAGTGTTGTAATGCATCCTATCAAGTTGAATACTGGAAGAAAGTCCAAAACAGATTAGTAAAATCAGAACTGATTTTAACGGTAATATTCAACAAATTTGAATATATATCTGACCAAGATAGCGTGATTTTTCCTTCTCCGGCGTCGATCCTGGCTGAAATGGTTTCTGGGGTGTACTGATGTCGACTGTAGATAGCATATACTTTTTCAGCCACAGGTTACATTCCATCGTATGGTTGATAATACAATAAAAACGACATACCATTAGATTTCCTATCCATTGCATACGCAGGCTTTTTAGGCACATACCCTGCACCATCGTCATCCTCAACAAAATCATCCAGATCAAAGTAATCATCTTTGTAATCATACTTGAGCCTGTTGCTTCTGCGTGGAGCTGTTGTATATGTGTCACTTATATGTGCGACAATGAAATATGTAATGATTAAAACAACTACCATTTTTGTCTGCGTCTTCGCACTCTGCATCATCAATGCTGATGTTGAATATACGATCCAGTACAACATCATCTTCCTCCATTGTGACACTTCCTTCATTTTCAATATCGTCAAAATCAAATGGCTCCCAGAAATATAAAGTTCCTTGCACGTCCACCTGTACGTGACGATAAGCGGTAGGATTATATTTGATCCAGCAAGAAAAAACAATATTAACTTTCACGAATCAACAAGAACTTGTGCGATGAAAAAAATCCAATTTCTGGTGGAACGTGGTATGGCAATAAGCATGGTGGAAATTTTTCTTACGTATGCTATTTTCTTGCCATCTGGATGCCATGATAGACCAGTCACATGCGCTTTATGTCTTATTCTAAAATGTCGGATTGAATAAGTTACAATTCACATATATTATATGCTAATTGGTAATAGTTCACTTACTTCCATGAAGACTTCCTCTTTATTAAATTCCAGATCATTATGTAACAGTCCAAACCCGCTGTGGCCAAATATCGTCCATTCGGTGACCATTGAAGGACGCATATATTCTGAATAACGACAATTTCAGTGAGCATGTACAAGTCAACATACGAGTGCTTAAATCATATACCTGTTTATGTTGATCTTTGAACATTATATTATATTTCCAAGTATTCTTATTGACAATGACGACGTCTAGATAGAGCAAATATTAGCGTGATCCAATATTGATTTGCAAGTCTACCTCAACTTACCTTTATCATCTCCTGGAACAGCAAAACATTTCCCTGACGGATGCCACGCTATCTGACACGTCTGCGGGTCGCTATATCCAGAGTATAACTGTTTAGCATAACATTTTATTGATTCACAAACTGTAGCTACTCATGATCTGACTTACCCTGGATCTGTGTGCGGAATTATGCCCAAAAAATGCTTAATGAAACGAGGCTCACCGTATCGCATGTCCCATACTCGAATAGTCCCGTCACAACTAGAAGAGACCTGCATTCACATAACCATTCCGCGAATTTTCAGGTCAATATATATTTGGACATTGGCGAGAAGGTAATGATAGTCACTCACCAAGAACTCTCCATCTGGATCAAACTCGACACACCTTACAGAATTCGTATGTCCTTTGACTACAACCACATCACTAATGTTTACCGTGTTGACTATCTGGATGGTCGAATCGCTAATAGAGAACGTTAATCCATCTCTGCTGATATTTAAAAGTCAGACCACAAAACTTCATTGCATACTTACTCTGAAGCCACGGCTACTCGTAAGCCATCCGTATTAAACGAAACATGTCTTGCAGGCAACGTACAGCGATACAGTAATGATTCAAATTTCTTGGTTGTCAGACTAAACAGCGCGACGGTCTTGTCTTCCGATGCAGTAACAAGCTTTCCATTCTGATGTTAAAAACGTGAATATAAATATATGGAATAAGCACAAATATCATACATGCAATATGTAAAATTAAGTTATGTGTAAAATAATAACAACGTTTATCCCAATGCAGCGAATGCCCTTAGTATGATGAATAATGTTAATGGGTCTATCATCTATATTCCCGTTGGCCAAGACAAGAAAGAATCGAATTGCTCCATCTGCTCCAGCTGTAAGTAAGAAACTACGAAAAATCAAATCTTAGAATAATAATAATAATAATAATCAAAGATTACGCATCCTTCCCTACACATACTTGCCGTCTTCGTTGTAACTAACGACAGTGTAGCCTTGTGTGTGTACTAAGAAGGAATCTATTCCCGGTTCTGGTACTTCCCGTGCTTCTAGTTCCAGTCCAAACTCACTTTCTTCAGGTAATTCGGGAAAATCAAGATCAGATTGAGATCCCATGATTCAAAGTGGCTATCGTTGGTTATGAGGGAGAGAACGTGTTTTATCCAATATTTAATATTAATGGATGCTAAACGAACATTCAGAGGCCGCCTCACGCGTCGTGTTTGAAGATCGGCGTCAATTTTACCTTTTTCGGAAAACGCGACGGGGGTTATCCCAACGAATACAACTTTCCACCCTGTAAACAATGTTATAGTTTCTCACTTCCTAGCTCTCAGTCCTCGTCTTGATATTAAAGAGTCCCTGCCTCGGGTTCGATAACGGTCTGTACAGACGAATGACACGAGGCTATAACATGTCGACAAGAAACTCGAAAGTAAAAGAAGAAAAAAAAAGCAACGCATTTTTCCGTGAAGGCAAGCATGTTTACATGAGATAGAAAACAGAGTTAATCGATTATTAGAATTTTGAGTTGTTGTTATTTTAACACCAGCCTTTCTGGCATAGGAGATGAAGTCAATTCCGTTGTAACCACCAAAAGGGTGGATTGGAAGACGATAACTCCTCCACAATGCGTGACAGTTACTAATATAGCGGTTTGTAGTGACCTTCACATTAATGTTGCAGCAATTATTGACCAGTCGCACCGAGTACTATATTTGTTCGTTAACAGAAAACTCTCAGGGCCAATTTCGAAGCTAAACAACAACTAAAGACCGAAGAAGAAGAAACACAGAGTATAAACCCAAAGATTCTGCTAGAAAGGTAAAAGAGGATTCTAATGAAGAATCTTTCGTGTTTTCCACCAGTACAATAGAAGTGACATCTCTCAATTCAATGTAGTGAAAGCATTGCGACTGTTCGAAAAGAGAACCTGTTCAGTTCTGAGGTTACAGAGTCCGAGCAAGATATCATTGATAAACGGGTCGCTCTTCAACGACGTCACGTGTGTATGATTATCAAAGATCTACGCAGTAAATCTTGTAGCAGAGTGTATAACTGATGAGAATAGTTTATAGTATGCGGAATTTGAAAAACGAGAGTATGAACGCAAAGCCAAAAAAATTCGCGACATATTCGAATTTTTAATTGACGATGAAATTAAGGCTGCGCTATCGGATTGTGAGAACGACGAGGTTTGCTTGAAACAATGATTTACGCGTTGAGCATCGTATCCATCAGCTAATGAATCAATTGATTTCGTTTACAGGAAGAAGTCATCGTTCGAATGACACAACATGGATATTTACATCAGCTCCGAAAGAAGCTATCAGAAAAACAAGGAAAGATGTCTTGTAAGCAGTGATACAAAGACGTGTGGGAGGAGAAGGGAGTGGTTGAGTGTGCGATAACACGATTCGAATAATCAAAGCAAATGCTTGTATTCATGTGATCAGCCAAACAAATGAGTGAAGAACAAAAGGAAGCGTACGAACAGCTGTTAAAGAAACGTAAAGAAACTCTCAGAAAGACCTCGGGTTTATCAAGTAAAAAGTATGTTAAGATATTGTATTTCATAATACAGCAGAAATATTGAGCTGACGTTACGTTTAAGTCAATATCACCGCATGAAAGGCCGTCTCACACTCGATGAAGCTCTGAAACAAGTGCAGGATAATAACAAAGATCTGGAAAAGGCTTTTGAGGGATGGTCCGAAGCTCGCATTAAAGCATACAAAGCAATTGAAACGAAACCGAATACTTACTATTATCGATTCAATGCACCAGGAGAAGAGCAAAAGAAAGGGCCATGGACAGATGTAATTTCCCATAGATATATCAATAAACATATGATTGGCTCATTTTGCGCGAACGTTAAATACAATTTTCTTTATCAATGCAGGAGGAAGAAAAACTCTTTTTTCAGAGGCTTGAAGAAGTAGGAGCAGATGGCCAATGGGGTCTCTTCTCGATGGCCATACCCGGACGCGTCGGATATCAAGTAAATATAGTTTAATGTCTCCATTACTTGTTTATCCAACTTGATATCTCATGCCGATACTTTTCTAGTGCTCAAACTTCTACCGTCTACTTATCGAAACTGGGCGAATTACCGATCCCAATTACGTGCTTGATCCAAAAGGCAAAGCACACTATCTGTTTAGCACCAAAAACAAACAAACTGGTGTGACAGAGAAAACTTTTCGAACTCATGTGAAACATGGAAGTAGGAATGCACGCGCAAGTGGTGGGTTGTCGAGCTCTAGTTCGGGTTCGAGGTCAGTGCTTGTTCGGCGGAAACGTAGAAGAACTCGGCTGACTAGTGACGATGATGAGGATGAAGACTTTGATTGTGACGATTCGGGTAGTTACACTTTAAAGTCGTGGAACACCTCTAAGAGGACCAAGACAAGAGCATCTTCTAGTAAAGAGGAGAGTGGGGAGGAAATAGATCCTTTTATGCAGCAAAGAAATGAGAATCCTCTACCAGGATTTACAGATCCGATCACTTTGGATGAAGTGGTCAAGCCAGCAATGTCGCCTTACGGACATGTGATGAGGTTTGCTATAACGATTAGTCTGATATTGTGCTATGCTAGATATGATTTGTTGATCGGGCTTATACCGAACACGAAACGTGTACGTGTTTGACAGTTACGACAGCTGGGTTCGATGCCTTTCGTCCGAACCGACGAAGAATATTTGTCCGTTGACTAAAAGACCTCTGACAAAGCGAGAACTTATTATCTTGACTGTAGACAATATCGATCAGTATAGGTCAGCATCACATGTCTGTAAAGTATGTTATTTCACGAGTGATACGGAAAATTAACGTTCTGCTCTGACATTTATTTCTAGGAACAAAATCGTGAATCCTTATTAAGTATACATGTCTTAACATTGCTCTAATACATTTGTACATTTTGCGCTCAACTACCAAAGATTCTTGAGATTGTAAAATTCATCGTGTCCTTTCAGTCTCAGTGAAGCGACGCTGTTTTTTGAGCGCCCGCAGCAGTTTTATTTCCGATTTTTTGAGAGATAAGTTGAGATGGGACATCATCCAGGGGGCGTGAATAGTGAGTTGTGGGGTTTACGCGTATTATTATATTGGTCACGGGCCAGAAATAATGTTACGATGTGTCAGGTAACTTGGTTTAAGCACACGTCTTCAAAATTTTGGTAAAGTACTCCATTGGAAACTAATGTAGAGTAAACATGCTCTATAGTATATATTTTATTGACATACAATAAAAGACTCGTTTCTGTTACTGTGCCAAGAATAACTTAAATGAATTTATCAATATTTTTGCAATTTGTTAGTGGGTTAGCATGGCATGGATAATCATTAGATCTAATCACATAAGAGAAGATACGCGTAAATTTTAAACAAGACTTTTGTGTAGAATAATGTATTCATGTTCCCATTATAAAAGCTTTTCTGTTACAAATCCCGTGGTCTTGATGTACTATAATTTTTTAGGCATTGTTGAACTCGGTCGAGTTGCAGGCTTACATCGCTCCCAACAGCTTTCACATCACATCCCAAGACTTACCGAGGTTTTGCGCTGGGACCTAGCATGGGCCCCCTTCTTGGCTGTTTCTGCCAAAGACATGTTTGCAAACAAACAAGGATAGAACACCTTGGGCTAATTGTAATTCAATGACAAAAGTTGCAGTTGTCTAGATTTACAAATGCTCAAAGATTTGAATTTTTTTATGTGATAATATAACTACAATTTGTTTTAAATTTATAATAAACCCATATATATATAAATTCCCCATAACTAGTAAATCCTAATTTTAATTCAATGAACCCCCCAAAAAAATCTAATTGTAAGAGAATCCTGGTAGCTAAATATACATAAATACACTATAATAGATACAGAAAGGTTTACAATATAACCATAGAGACAATTCCTAATATTCAACCCAACGTATGCGAGGACTTGCTACAAAGAGGGAGGCAAAAGAATTGAATAATAAGATGGATGGTTTGTTTTACATATTCAAACTGGTGAACAAACAAAATGCTAAAAAAAAACGCCAAAAGGATAGTGATCATCATGCAATTCATAAAGTAGAAGAACACGTCAAAGGGGAAAAGGAAACAAAAATAAAGATGAAAGAAGAAGAAATTGAGACGTATAAACAATGGTAAATGAAAAAGCTTTATACAAAATTACTATATATAAACACCTAATTGCTGTAAATGAAAACACGTCCCTGCTATTGTTGTATTTACTTTTGAAGAAAAACAAAAAAGAAACATGATGGTAATATGTATAAAAAAGAAAAAAGCACTGATGAAATTTTGTAAAACTACAAGAAAAGTAGAAAGATAACAAAAGGAAAGAAACCAACACAAAACATCATAATATTACCATCCCGAGAAAAAAAAAAGCGGAAACAATACTTGTGAATCTTCTTAATATGTTTAATCACCAAAACTTCCCAGTAATTTTATGCCATCTTTCGTAACCACATTATAAATCCTTAAAATTTCAACGATAAAAGCACACCATCCTGCTCTACGGTATAGTCAATTTCCATGTCCTGTTCATCTTCAATCTGATGAATCAATTCATCGTCAACTCGCACATTAATCCCACGTTTAGTGTGTCGATGAACGCTTGAAACGGTTTGACCTTGTAAATCGAGCTTGTCAACAAGTTTGGCAATGAGGTCGGAAGCCGTCAATTGGTTAAGATAGATTGCACGGTAGACTGATTCATTGGGAAACTTGGCATAAATGCAAAGGACTGGATATAAAAATAAAAGGTGAGTAACAATTAATCAATTGCCTATGCAGTTGATTTTTCGACAACACTTTTTTTTTTCTTCACGCAAACTCACCAGCACGCTTCTTCCGTACAGGAATGTATGTTGGATCACAATCTAGAGCTTCCATGAAACTATCGGTTCCAACCGAAATTCGTCGTCGCTTGCCCAGATGCAAGGTCACCAATTCTCCGCCATCAGCGTCGGATTCTAAACTGTTGATCTGCTCTGCTAGATTTAGCACATCGCCATCATCCGCTGCATCTGAATTACCCGTAATTTCATGGAACACTGTCACATTGGTAGGTTGTGCATACATCATCATCACTGGCGTCGTTTCTTGTGATTTGACTTTGAAACAAAAACAAACAGTAAGAATTTATGGTAAAAAGTGACCAAAAAAGAAAATTTTCAACGTTCCGTAAAATAGTACCTCTCATTTTATCACACATTTTGTCCAGGTGTTTCTGGTCATCCTTATATTTACGTTCCGCTCCTTTGTCCCTAAAGAGCTTAATCTTGGCAAACGATTTCTCTAGCGATTGTTCGCTTTCGCTCTTGGTTTCAACATGCACTCGAAGCGGAATGCCTTTGACACCCTTTATGCGCGAAAAGTCTGTCGACAAGCAGTTAAACTTCACCAGTATCTTTGCGGGTTTTTTACCGTTCCATTGGAATTGTACACGATCAAAGGACTTTGTCTCCACATTTCTTATGCCCGAAGATGCGGCCTTGTCTATTATTACACACATTGTATGATTATTTAGTGTTGTGGGATAACAAAGAATCAACAATGTCATAAACAGATGGTAAATCTGTATGTACATACCAATATCAATAGCCCGAGCAGTTTTGGGTGACGCTTGCTGGCTCAGCCAGAAAGTCCAATATGATGACGCTACTTTGCGATGAGCTTCATCATGGAACATTACTTTGATAATCGTTGTAAAATCGGCATCGGTCTTTTCCTGATCTTGCAATATGACACAATAGTATTGACCTGATGTAAAAGAAGATTGCTTCAAGTCAGTATGCAACCGTTGGGGGGGGGGGAAGAGTCGAAAATCAAGAGCAAAGTTGGAGAATGTACCTTTATTGAGGTAAGTTATCGGTGTTTCATCAATGCGCTGGGCCGCAGCTGTGGGTGCTTCTAAAACAACTTCGAATCGTAAATTCCTATTAAACGCGCAAATAGGGTGAGCGTCGGGTAAATTTGAGAATCGCACTCTCTGGAAACGTATGCCCTTCTTGCTTTCTCAATATCAAACTCTTTTCCGGCAAGTAAAATCTTGTTACTTACGAGCTAGGTTGATTGATGCTCGCCGGTGGAGATGGAATAGTAACAGGCTGAGGGTTATTCTGATAATTAGACGAAACTTCCTGTGGTGGCTGGGCATGATCCAATGGAGGCGAATGATGATACGTTGAATGGTGCTGAGAGATGTGATGCGACATATGATAATCGTTGTTGTTATTCCCGTTATTGAGGGAATTTATTGGACTGAGGGAAGGTATAGGACTGAGTGACGATTGAGAATTGACGGTTGGTAGGGGATTGGACAACATTTGATTATGATTTATTATAGAATGGTTCGGATGCGGGTCATGAATGTCGTGTTTGTAAAGAGATTGATGGGGAGGGTGAGGTCTGCTTTTCGACGTAAACGGATAAATGGTAGGATTAGTTTACGAGCAACAAGATTCGAGCACTAGAGCACGGTCAATTATTTTTCAATTGGGCATAAAAGCGCTCCTTGATAATAAAGCATACTTACGGGTGCTGTTGATAGGTGCCAGGACCAAAGTGTGAATGCAGGCTCCCAAAGTTATTGGAATGCATATGTGAAGAAGCCAGGGGCAAAATCATGCTGCTAAATGCAAAGAAAGCATGGTTAAAATTAACGTTAGTCGTGTGTGGACCATAAATACGTGTAGTCTTTTGTTGTTGTTGTTCCCGTTGTTTTTACGGCTATTGGTTAGGACACCAACACATCAATGATAGCAAGCTTTACCTGTTGTCATAAGGCATTTTTTTTATTGATCGTTGTGATAGGAAACCAAAGAGTAATGGTTGATTGCTTTGTCGTTACTGGCGCACAAGCGAGTACGCGAGAGTATAAATGTAGTCGTTAGAGCGAGTATTTTGTGTTAAACAAATAGTCGACGCGCGAGAATAAATTTTTTCTTGTAAAAATAAATGGAAGAATATTGTTGTAGTACAGTCGCAGTCGTTATAAAAGTCGTGTGAAACAGAAGTGAAGGCTCGCACACTTTCTGTCAAAAAGACAACCAGCTGAGAGCAAGACACACAAGGCGACGGGATCGATTTACAGACAAGTTTTTTGTGGGCAAGGCCTATTATTTATCAAATGAAATTTAGGGTATTGCAGGAAATACCCTCCCGCCTCATTCCGCGGTAACTCACCCAAAAAGTATACAATCTGCATGTGTTATTGTAAATTCATTAAATTTATTCAATATATTAATGTAATCTAATTTCAAAGGTTACATAATATAAAACCATAGAATCGTAAGAATCCTTATAGAAGGCCACACAAAAAATGAGGGATGTGACACAGGTAACTCGATATGGCAGAATGGCCCATTAAAGTATATGCAAACTGCGTATATCGAAAAACGATGTATAAATTGATAGAATTGATATTGGGGGGTGGGGATGATATAATCATTTATTAATATTTTTTTGGTTGTTCTGAACAATGTGAAATAATCGACAAGGGTCAAATACAGGGTTTATTTAATCATTATACATCATCTTATAATAAAATTCCCATTGAATGAGGATACAATAAGGTTAATACGTAACACAATAACAGTCAATATCATTAATGGTGATTTCATAGTCGAGTATATGCTACGAAATGTGTTAAAATATGTGCATCCGAGCTAGCCCATGCAAGTAATAACAATATAAAACACAAATTAATATTCTTTAGACGTTGTTCCATTGCTCGCCGTATTCGAGATTTCGCTGATACGTTCACAAACGTTCTTTTCCCTCCCTCACCCCTTTCGTGACTTCATCCGGGGCAAGTTTATGGCCATAACTATGTCATAATGACACTCCCCTTATATAGGATTAACGAAATAATATAACGATGTATTAGTAATGTGTATTTAATGTTTGATATTAAGGGCACGGTAATGGTAAGGAAAAAGTTATCATCCATTAATTATACCATATTGAACTTGAATACGTCTCCCGTTGATTGGTTGGAAGTCTACAGCTCTCCTTTAATATTTTTAATATAACAAAATTTGGTCATGGTGAACCTAAAATAAAAAAAGTATGGTGTACATTCGGTATGTTTTTGTAATGGAATGGTTGAAAGAAAGGGAAAAAGGGAGAAACAATTCCGACGCCGTCATCCATTCATCCTTTCCTATTAAACACATCTCAAACACTCACGCTCTACAAAATACAACATGTGCGTCATTTTAGTGTCTATCACTATGTATAATCTCTATTCTAAGCTGTTCGGTGTCACGATGTTTGTGGAGAGTCAAGAGTGGAAATTAGTATTGAGTCGACAATAGCGAGGGTTTGTTTGGGACGAAATGCGCAAAAGTGTCTCAGAGTATGCACTTTGAATGCATTGTGCGTGTTTGCATACATATAAATTGTAGTCATCAAACCTAGATTAGTGCATTTATTTGCATTCTTTTACAATGCAAATAAACACAGAGTCAACTTGCTACCAATCTGCATCCAGACCATTAACCCAATCTCATGTAAATGTCAACTCTTATCTACTCTAGTGAAACGAATAGGCAAGCGCCCCCTTCCCAATAATAATGAGGTTAACAGAAGAGGGTACGAAAAACAACGATGTTGCTCGATTAGGTTATGGGACGGGTAGTAAGTAGTCAAGCAGGGTCCAATACGATCAGCATAAATGAATTAGGTTATGTGTGGTAAGTAAACATGTGGTCGTAATAATACTGACAATAATAACTATAATCGTTATTAATATCCTTGATACTATTGTCCTTGCTATTGTTATGGTTATGTTATGGTTATGGTTATGTTATGATTATGTTATGTTATGATTATGATTATGTTATGTTATGTTATGTTATGTTATGTTATGTTATAGTTACGTTATAAATGGTTAAGGTTGTAATTATAATTATGGTTAGAATCTTATTGTCAAGGTCATTCGCATGGTTCTTCCGCATCGCATCGCATCGTCATAATTATTCGCATCGCATCACATCGTCATGGTTGTCGTCATAAACGTTCTGGTGGTTCTTTGTATCGTTGTTTACAAATGGCCTTTGTCCAAGCGAGAACAGCAATATTAATCCGACACCAAAGTATGCACTGATATCAAATGATAACATCAGTGGGATAACACATTAGACTCGATTAAGTAATGATAACAAGTTGATAATCTATTTTTTTTTCACACTAGACAACCCATTCAACTTTATTTATTTCCATCGAGTCTATTTTTGTTCCCCTCCTGTTTCTTGTCTTATCCTGTTTATAATGCCCTCTATCCGGGTTTATTTTGGTATCTTTATTTATTCGCTGTCAACCACGCTCTCTTACTTCATAAGACGATCGTCCATTGAACGTTCGACAAATAGAACTACCCGTCCATATGCAAGCACAAGATAATGGTATGCATTCATCTGAATATGTGAATTAGATATGCAGAGATTTACGATTATGCATTACTTTCCAAGTAAGTTTGTATCAATAAGTAAAGTCTATTGCAAAGCTGCAACATTTGTGTGGCACGCATGATTTGTTCTCTCAAATTTTTTACCCGCAAAATTTTTTTGTCCCTCGTCTCGTTATCTCCGCCTCTTCTCATTCTCTAAAATACTGGCCTACCGTCTCCTTGACTGCATTGTACAACGTTCACAAGCTGGACTATCATTACGACTTGTTCCGTGAGCACGAAACTAAGCCTCATGCAGGTATATGTACTTGGATTTGGCAAGTTAATAATAGGAGGAAGTTTAAGAGAGAATACGAGAAGAGTAAAGCGTCCACATGTAATGTAGAGCAGTGACAAACTGTGAAATTATGTCATATGTCATTCATATCATGTACGATGTTCATGCACATTAAATGGGGCATTCTCTGACCAATACAATTTCTGATCAATACGAAACTACTCGCTTGACCAATAATCTTGTGAATCGATCGTCGTTTTATATTCATTTCTATTCATGCACAGCTATTTGCGCACAATGAGGAAACTTTATGAGTCAAAGTAAGGGAATCAATCAAGTATAAAAGTGCATTTACTTGCATCGTTCTACTTAATGTGCTTCTTTATTATATACCCCCACATGTGCGGTCAGTGTTAAAGGCATAACCAAATATGAACGCAATCGCATCTGGCGCAATTCCTCTCTCCCGTGATTAATAAATGTATACGGCTAGTTGATTATTAAACAATCAGATTAATAAAGCATTTATTAGTGTAACTTAGTAATAACAAATAGTTTCGGATTACTTATTAATAGCTTTATGTATTACGATTTTCTTTATTGGTTCTTTATTCTGTATTCTATCGTCATTCGAGGTAATAAAAGGAATAATGATATTGGTTACAGTTCTAAAGTGTTTCATGTCTATCTTTTATGGTCTGGGGGCTTTTTTTTTACGTCTGAATGAGAACCATTCCCCAACGTAAATATATGCTTCTATATTCAGTAATATACATTCAAAATCCATTGACTTGAAGATCTTCCGCATACTTTGCAGTTTGCTTGAATGATCAGTAAAAGGGGCGTTTGTCGCTACTTTCGCTTATGCCCAATATTTTTAATAGATACTCTTTGATTTAAAGTCCTCTCAGTGTTACTAATTATTGTTTGTGTTTAGGACCCAGTTTTCAAAGGGGGTGGGAAAGCTTTGATTATTGGTTTTCGGATTTTTCAAGTAAGTTTCTTAGAGATGATTTTCCGCAGTGTTTTTTGAATCCCCAAAAAGGTAATGATAATAATAAGGTTGTAATCACAAAATTACTCGCTTATCATCTGACCTACTCTATATTATCCAATCAACAACGCTTATTCATACACATCTACTGTGTATTATCCAATCAGCAATGCTTATTGTTATCGTCATCATATTTATTATTAGCATACACGCACCAACTATTTTTTTACAATATCAATGCATAAAGAGAACCTATTCAGAATACATATCCGCACAATAGCTTCGCTTACAAACGACTCTAAAAATAATTCACTTTTCTCACAGATGTTCTCATAACACATATATATTCTAGCAGCCTATCCGCGAAAGGTCATGCGCATGGTCACAAGCACGTAATTTTACTATTTGTGATCTACATCGACAAAGGATGCACAAAAATCAGCCTACTCGTTGCACAATATATGTTGAAAGCATAGAATGGTTAGAATACACGGTAAAAGTAAAGTATAAAAAAAAAGCTTGGCTTTTTTAACCGTTGGAGCAATGCATATTCTATAATGTATGCATTAGTCATACATATTATTATATCATAGTTGGCGAATAGAGAGAAAACTACATTTCTACAGGTAAAAAAAAATTAAATGTGTTACAAATTCTACGGATGACACGCTTACGTTGAGCGTTCTAGTCTGACTTTTCAATGTTTTGATCAAATTGCAAATTGTACATACAATTAAATGTTTGTTGCAGGGAAAGGGTTGCTTTTGAGAGTAGGCCAAAAAGTGTTCGTAACAAATAACAAATTAGTGTGCATGTACCATAAATAGCTAAACGAAACGACAATAATAAATATCCATACTGCCAAAATGGTAACGTATTAATGTTTATCCTCTCACCAACCTTATCTGACCCACACAAACCAGTTCTAGTCCTTACCCGACTCTTTATCCCTCTTTTCAGACAAACCCGATATGGCAGTTCGAGCTGTGAATCTTAAACTTGTAGCACAATATAAACAAAATGCTCGGCTTGCCCAATAACACGTCATGTGATTACTTGGCGTGAGCCATTAAATTATTGGGTAACGAAACCAAGACATTTATCCAAATTAGGGATAATATAGCAGAATTAGGAAAACGGTTGGGAAAAATAAAACGGCATCCAAACTCCGATGCAAAGTGTATTATTTTACCGTTTTACGTGTGGTTGCTCTCCAACCCCCCTCAATTCGTCCTGACCGAATGCTCAGCTGACAGAAATAAATATTTATTCAGTTTTCCTCTTCACATAAAACGTAACTCAAAAATATTTATAACTTTTTTTACACATGCTCTTTTACAAAACGTGGAATTTAGAAGTAATAAGAATCATGTTGACAAAACAAAGGAGGGGGTCAGCTGTTTATATTTGTTCTACACATAGAATCTTCCCCTATTACTATCGATCGATATCGCAGTTACGCGGCCCATTCAAACGACTACGTAGTTTGGGCAAAATGATTGTGTCTCTGGTGCTAAATAAAGCTGCCCTTTGTCTGCATAATTGTAGTATGAATCAAGTGATTGTTAATTAATTGTAACCTCACCAATCCACCCCCCGTGCGTTTATTCTCGTGTTCTTGTTTCCTCCCTCGTTTTTCTTTGTTTGTCCAATGACCATATCTGGGTGCTTACAAACTTCGTACTCTAATACTTTAAACAATCGTCTCTAATAAGGTTTTATTTCAATTGTGTGACGCAAAAGCGATCAGCCGCTATTAATTGTTACACTCGAGTATATCACATGTTATGTGTAGAGTATGACAACGCCCTGATCGATATCGATAAGGTTACTTGGAAAAGGCGGAAATCGTAGTGATTACTTCATTAGCGTACGTAATCAAAGTGCTTATTGTTTCTATTAATTAAATCATCCTTTATACCATTTGCATCGTCGAGGGAGGCGAGAGACGATCGATTCAACAATCTAGATTGTAGTAAGCTTCTTTAAACCGTTTTCCTACAATGGGTCGCTAAATACTCATTATGGTCATCATATCAGGGTTTTCGGTGTTTGATTGAGAAAAAAAGGGGGAAGGGGTGGAAAATGATCGAAACTATGAATTTGCGGTCGAGATAACGTTACCCGATCAGTCAACCTGATACATTACTTTTTATAAAGACAACGTCTTTATTGCGTAATCAAACATGCCGCAAATGATTTAACCTGTCCCAAATTTTGGTTTTGAGTACAACAGTACCGAAACATTCGATAATTAATATTAATATGGCAGATCCCAAATGCTTTTTGCTCCCTTTGTAACAATTAATTTTACTGAATTGAGGCCTCTCAAGTACGAAGCGGGTGATGACTCATGCTCGAGTTTAATGTCAATAGTGTCGGAGATGAATTCTGTTAATATGGCAATAAATTACTGGGCGAAAGAAAGCCAAAGAAAGTCCTTTAAAAGAATATATTGGTCAATTAACTGTCGATAACAATAAACCGCAAAGCTTAAAACCTCAAACTTGATGGGACGTCGCCTGCCTGAACAAATCAATCCGACCGCTTAATTGAAAGAAACAAAACCATTAATATGTAAACTATAGCATAAACCGTAGTTCTTATCTCTCCATTGTTCTGCCTGTCAATTAGATAGACCCTTTATTGCATGCCTCGACTTTTTTCCTAGTGACACAGTCGATTTGTTGATTCTCATTGTTAAATCATTTATGTTCGATCATCAGCAATTTCTGAAACGCTAATTAGCACAATTTCAGATTCACAATTACGAGGAAAAAAAAGTTTCGGCTTCTCTTATTATGCTATAACTATTGTAGCACTTGCAAGTGCGCCTTTGTGACGACCAGTGGAAAGCGCTGGCTGAAAATCTATTGCCAAGATTACATAATGAAACTTTTGTCAAAGTTCTGGCAAACTCAAAAAAGCCAAACTGCCTAATATTAACAATTGTGCGTTGACGTTATAAATCATTTATTTGAGACAACATAACACTAAACGCCTTGCTTGTATACAACATACAAATTAAAATGGTCGGAATAAATACAAGAGGAATAAAAATTCCTTGTTATTGAAAACGACGAGGATTTTTTCATTTTAATTTTTCAACAACTATTCGAGGCGTGCGAGTAATAAAAGCGGGCATGACTTTATATTTACAGTTCTTCAATCCTCATTTAACCAGTATAGCGAGTAGCCGCTATTCATTCCCTTCGTTTGGAATTGAATAAACATGTAAAGACGCGGGACGCTTATTTGACTAAATAAACGTTATTATGGGTAACAGATCGAAAGATTGAAGAAAAGGAATTATCGGTAGAACCAATCCCTGTATTAATGTATCAGTATATTCGGTCTTGACCTGCTCTGCAAGAAAGTGTGTTTGATCCAGATAATCGTTTTAATGTTTTTAAATCCAATCCACCAGGGAATAAATTTATTAAAAGGATAATGTATATTGGATCGTTTTACAACACGCAGTTAAAATTTACAAGACTATTCGCGTTGACATTGAGCCACCGAACTCTTTAGTTGATCTTTGAATAAAGCCACTTTGAAAAATAACGTAAGGATTACTGCAAACAAATAAGATACATGTACATGTAAGGCAACAACACGTTATGCGTCGAGACTGATATCATGGTGGATAATTACGGTCTCACTATCCAACTCCATACACCTTCTCAATGTACGTCACCCAGTGTACGATGATCTTCTTCACCTCTTCCCACCCGATCAATCCACCCTTGCTTTCCTCACTTTCTGCGCTCGCCGTGACCTTGAACCACTCGCGATGCACAATGCCACACCCGCTACATTTTTCAATATCCGCGCGGAATCGTTCTCCCAGTTCGATATGAATCAACCTCTCAGCACGATGACTATATTTGCATCTTTTTAACGACCAAAATGGATTATTGCTCTCATCTTCGTGAACATCAGCAAAAATGTCCTCATAATCATCAATGGTAGAAAGAGATGAGTTTGAGATCAAACTCTCGCGACGTGACAGGGAGGGTGGAAGACTGACGTTGGGAAAGTACTCGATGACCTCGGGCGTATACCCGCAGTGTTGAGACCACTGATATATACGACGATGGAGATTAGTGGTGCGTCCCACTTTGTACAGAGTACTGTACGGATCCCGATGTGTATCTGAGCCAGAAACAATATGGTAAGCATAGATAAAACCCGGCTCGTCGCTTTCCGAGATCGGCTTCTCCATTTCAGATCTAAGAAGGCGTCTGATTTCTTCCGGCAGATCAGGATTTATCCATTCTAACGAGTTGGATGGCGGTTAAGGAAAACATTGTTAAGTAAAAAAAAAAAAGGAACGTGCTACCAGTGTCATAATGTGATAAACCAACCTTCAAATTTTAACCAAACCATTCTCGAGCGTCCAGGAACGAATAGAACACTCTCTACATCTGTATTCTGCGTTTGAGCATATTCCACCCTATGCTGATGACAATATTGCACCTCACCACGGTCGTGTTCGGAACACTTGACACGGCGAATGCATCTCTTGCCAGTCTTGTTGATACCGCAGCATTGAACAAAGTTTGAAGAATTCAACGGTGACGAAAAAACTGAAGGAGTGTCTCCGGTGAGATCCACGTGAACGTGAGTGGATGTACGACGAAGTGGAGGAGAGATTACGGGGGATGAGAGAAGAGAAAACGATGGAATAGGCGGATATTTCTCTGATGGAGTTGACGTATCAACATCGGTAGTCAATGATTCTTTGTAACTATCTTTTTCAAGCGTCACCACATTTCGACGTGGCGTAGGAGACCCAACTAGCGGAAGTAAGGAGCGCCTTAGCGCCGCCGGAGATAAATCATGATCACCGCGCTTGATCGGAATAGGCGATCCGCATGCTTTGGGTGTATGAGCTGGTGATTGTTGCGTTGAGGAAGACGGCGTGACAAATTCACCTTGTTTCTCACTTGATTGCTCTCCATCATCAAATTCTTGATTGGACCATAAGATCGATGGTCCATCAACAAGAGAACGAAATGGACTTGAACCCAATTCGATAGGACGAGTAGCGTAAATTGCCTGCGTGGGAGAACTGGAGAGCCAAGGGGCTGTTAGTATTTGCGTATCAGGAGTCACCGTTGTCGGCGTGCGAAATAAATCTTTATGTGTTGTTTCTATGAAGCTGTCATCTGGCACGGCGGGACTTTCCAAAGGAATCGGATGTTCCGGAGGACCTTTCGATTGGTCACGTGTATTATCGGACGTGTCAGTTTGTACTTGCTTGTCTTCATGCTCGGCAACATTGGGGCCGTCTTTAGGGTTTGGATCACTATCATGTATATCTGATGTATTCCGCTCGGACTGTGATTCGGAAGGTCCACAGGATGGGGCTGTCGATATATCAGTCTTAGATGTGCTTCCAGACGCTTGCTGTAATTGCGTAATCTTTACTTCAACATTGTTATCCAATTGAATACTAATGACTGTAGCCCTAGCAGAACTATCAAGGTTCTCGCAATCCTGATCAAAGTTCAATTTCGTTTGGCTAGTCTGTTTACCAGCGCCCGAACGTCTCCACGCATTCTGGTTTGATAAACCTCTAGCGATCCCTGCGGACTTGTCAACTGTGCCAGACTTGTTTTCACTCGCGTCACTAGCTAAATCAATAACCTCTACTTTTTCATCCTGACCAAAATTCAGCTTCGTTTGAGTAGATTGGTTGCCAACTTCCGAACGTTTCCGCAAAGTTGTCGCGTTACGGTTCTGGTTGTTTATTGATAATCGTCTTATGGTCCCTACAAGTTGCTCGTCATCTTTTTGATCCACAAACGATGATGTCGTTGAGAGGCTATCCAATCCAGTGTCACTATTCTCGTTCAACACCTCCGTCTCTCCGTCCTGCCTAGCGTCGTTCGGCTGCTCTTCCGTAGTTGGATTAGTCGGTAAACCAAACACAGATCCACTCGTCTGTGCCCTATGATGAAAACAGTAATGGTCGACTACAACGGGACGCCGACAAGGTTGTCCCGTCGTTAAAGATATTCCTTTACAATGTGGAGTGAAGGGTGAAGTGCTGACGCGACTTGGAAGGACGGATGTTTTCTTGAAAACCGGACTGACGCGTGGAGGCGTTGTAAATTTAGAACCAATTCGAGTGGATTGTGCGAGTATTTCTTGCAGCGTTGGCTGTTTCAGTTTTGTTGCAACGGTAGAGGATTTATGAGTAGGATCCGTACTCATTTTAATTTATGCAAATGAATGTGTAGGTCAAAAGTTCTATAATACTGATGTTATTGAGTTAAACAACAACAATAAGTCAGCAAAGATAGACTTACACTATTCCCTTGTTACTGTTCGCTGAAGCGAAGATAAACAAGGAAGTAGGTCAATATATTTAGGTTGTAAATGCTATTGATACATAAATAAATGGGGGCAAATCCAACAAAGAACATAACGCGACTTATATTTCTGGGGTACTAACTTTATTGATCGCCACCAATCACCCCATAATTTTTCATTAAACTTTTTACTAAATCGAACATTTGCTAAAGCCAGATTGTAAATTTATCGGCATTGTCGCGGAGACTCTCTAATTCGATGTTTCTAGTTAATAATAATAACGGTTATAAAATAACGATTCAAAAAAAAAAAGTTCAAGGATTGTTTGTTGTTTTACATCAACACGTTATTAGGTATCATTTTAATTAATGATGATATGAGAAGATTTACAGGTCAACAGGTTTAATTACAAGGTTACAAAGATATTTCGATGGCGTTAAACAAGAGTCTTTTGGAACATTAATTTTCTCTGCCCTTCAGTTGCGTTTGTTCTTAACTTTTGGCCGTAACTAAATTTTCCTTGATTTTTTCCTTGGTATATTTCTTTTTTTTTTTGTTAAATGTTCATCTATTTGTATGTTAGCCAAGATAAAGACTTTACACTACTTGGATCTGTTCGGCAAATCTTAAATTTAATTTCCTTTGATTTTGACATAAGCATCTATCAGACTTGATCAACGAATTGTTATCCAATCATTTAATCGCCGATGCCAGAAATTATCCACCATGTACGTGTTAGTATTGTTGATAAAATGGGAATAAGTTTGATAGGGCACGGTTGATTAGCAAGCAGTGCGGTAATGCGATTCTTTGTTTTTAATTACTACCCCGAGTTATACTTTTATTACACAAGAAACTGCATCCATTATTATCAAACCCTGATATAGCTTGTAGCCATAAATACTGCCTACATTTACAAGCATCACCGAATTTATATTAAGTGCTCTTTGCATAACGTTTATAGTTTCAATGTCTATAACTAATATTTTGTGACTCATTATAACCAATTTTCCGCTATCGCTGTTATAACGAGAGTTCTTAAATTAGACTGACAGAAAAATTACGTTATAAGCGCATATTCTTATACTAATGTCCAATTACAAATTGTGTACATGTATTTATTTATACAATTGTCCGTTTTATACAGTGTTTAGACAACAACTTCAAGATCTGAATTTTGATATATTGATGATGAAGATATGACCAATTGACCACATGAAGACGTTGAAATTGAAAGTTGAAAACTCTGTAATATGGCTGCTTGGATTGATTCTGAAGATGGATCGTGTACATCCAATACAAATAGCTTGACCCGATCTTGGATTGTGGATGTTGCAGAGTTGTCTGCTATAGTATCGCTGTTGTCTCTTGTTGAATTGACGACTACATTGGTCGTATTTGTGTTGGGATCATCGAACCTAACAGGAATCGTGTTCGATGCAGTCGTTAGAGCAGCATTTGCAGAGCCATTGGTTGCGTCGTTATGTCTTGTGTTGCTTGCTGGATTGGGCGCTGGGCCATTTGTCGGGTTACGGACGGGATTACCCGGAGCGTTATTATTATTATTTATATTATTACCTCTGATATTGTGAACGTTGTTAACAAATGCCATTGGCTCTATTCGATTACTGGCAAGGCGATTCCATCTCTTTGTAAAGAACCCGACAAACTGACCGTCAAATGTTATAATCAATGCCATCAGAATAGACACCATACTTGCAATAACGGGTGCTATTATATAGGCTTTATCAGCATCTCCTGCTCGTCTCAGAAGCCATTCACCATTGAACAAAAGCACAAGGAGAAATAATACAGACTGCCATAATATCACAGCCTTGAATAAACCTGCGCGGTGTGCGTATGCCAATGTTTTTTGAAGAATAAATATCACGACGAACGTGTTGTAAAGATTTAAGAGTATGTCAGGGCGAAAGTACGTCCATAGTGATTCACCAAATGCATTCACTTGTCCGGGAATACATGGAGATTCTGCTGAAACTTTCCCGGATGACGTTGCAAGTTTGTATGTCTTTAAGGAAAAGATAAAAATTTTTTACAAATAAGCGTAAATACAAAACGAACGAGAATGACTGTTGACGTAGATAAATTACCTCTATCGTAATAATCATCACCATAAATACAATTGCTACGCAGACATCCATCGCTACCGTACCCCTTATGCTCATTGTCCTTTTAGTTAGAAATCCAGCGACAGCCAACCTCCATAACACATCTCCAACACCCGCAATATACCCAGTTGTTTGACAACTTTTCTGATCAACATGTATGTTCATTCTGCTCAGAATCACTACAGCCACCCCTCGCCATATGCCAGCCATCATGATTAAGCACTTGCACTTGAATACCGTCATCGAGCGCTGCCTGCTCGTAAGTATACTGTATAGAAGACATGCAAAAAATATAGTAATGGCAATTGCCCATGAGACGGTAGTGTAGAGGGTGGTAAACGAGTCATTTGAAATGTATTCATCTTTGAATAGCGAGTACGATATCGTTGGCATATTTGTTTATTTGGCAAGTGGGGGGATATTGTAGTGTTGTGCTTGTTTACAGCAACATTAGTTTTCTGCCGAAATTTGGTGAGAAAACAAACCGAGCGCAAGTGAACAGTAAAAACCAGTAATATGCTCGTTTATTATACTCCCGGATTTACAATTAAACTTGTTTCTGGCACAATAGGCGATATTAAATTACTACTCGTAATGATTCCGTATATAGATCATTTGTTCTCCGTAGTCGTAATAATAGTAGTAAGCTATGCATATTTAATATTGCGTTAATCCCTTTATAACTCGTTTGGCAAAAATGCTTAAATGGTAACCAATTAAAGCTCTCGTTAACCTGTGTAATGCATCATTTGCTTCGTTGTTACTATTATTAATATTACATATTCGTAACAATAAGCTCAAACCAAACCTCTTATCATTGTTTAAAAAAAAAAAGCCCCGGACTCAGCATTGTTGTTCGATATAAGTGTCAAAATGATACACTTTCTCCGTAGATCCCTGTGAGAAAGATTTATCAATCGATAATCGAGGGTCTCATTTTGTGGCGAATTCAATAGAGTTTATGTATGCATATGCTAATGTCAATTCGATCGAATGGCATCGTCGATCTAATTATCGTTAGTATTGGGGCTAAACTGCGGATAATAAGGGAAGTGATTTGCGATTAATCCAGCAAAATATAGGCATAAGAATAAGCGTTTTAGGTGTAGCCTTCTTGCATAATGGTGGGATGTGATTGGTTGTTAATTCTTACAAAGTATCACTATTATTAGAAATTAAAACGCAAGCGGACCATTATATTTATTATTAATCCCCTTCGATCCATATTCGGCTGCTGACAAACAGGTTTCAGTAGTCTTTTCTGCGTGAAATTGGTCTCTCCTTGATAAAAATAGCTGTTCTCTTGCTTTAATTTCATTTACAATTATTATTGAAGTATTGGTTTAAATCGAGAGGCTTGTTTAAATATATCCCAATTTTTTCAGTAATATTTGTAAGGACCTCGCGGTCAGATCTTTTGGTAATTTAAATAGCATAGTAAAATGTATTAAAAAGTCTTCAGATTTCAATTCTACACTGTTTATACATTCAATTTCAGCATATATGACTCTTCGTTTGTATTCGACTATGATTCGGGCTAAGTTGCACTATTATCAACAGAGCTGCAATAGTGAGACATCTTAAAGACGAATCGACTTTTCGTTTAATTTATTTATTATCAAACCGATCGTTGAATAATTATCAGTTTTTTAGCCATAATAGGCAAATCTATTTAAGATTAGTAATTATTTCCTAAAAAGATTAAATTTTAATCGTCACTACTAGTAATGTCCGCATCTTCGCCTTCGTCTCTATTCCGTGTTGGATTGGAAGCAAACGGCGACGTAAGATCGCTTTCTTCAAGTCTACGCATGATAATACAGAGTTGCAGTTGAAACGTGAGTCGTAGACACTTAATAAGAATCCGAATAAATGACATGTTACACTTACTTTCTAAACTCGTAGCCTCCTTGCCCGTCAAATCGAAGAAGCCATTCGTGATATTTAACTAAAAAGTCACGTCAGTTAAGTATCAAATAGAGCCAGGACTAAAGCAAAGTTAATGTAATAATCTTAAGACTTACACTATAATTTCACGCAAGTAATATTTTCAAATTGTAGAGAGCATATTTATTAGTATTGTCATTTCGAGAAATATAAATTTAAGTCTGATGATTCGTTACATACCAATGAGACGCGATGAGAGACTGTGAACAGAGTGATTCCTAGTTCACGAGCGTGTGTGTACATAAGCCCTTCCACATCAATACTCACTGCACTTGTGCATTCGTCTAGTATTGCCTATATATTATGTACATCGTTAACAAACGCGTCGTGATATTAAATAGTGCTCAAATACGAATACATGTGGAACAAAACAAAGCTTACAAATTGTGGTCGATGATAGAATAGTCTTGCCATAGCTACTCTCTATTGCCCGAAAAAGTATAAAAATTAGTGGGTTAAAATTGACTAGTAAAATGTAAACCCCCATATAAAATAATCACGATACCTGTTTCTCTCCCCCAGATAATACATCAGCCCAATCCTGAACAGCATCCCATCCACCTTCTCGATTAACTATGTAGCCTAGATGGACAACATTCAGTAAATCCATCAATTTAGTATCATCATATCCCTTCATGCGTGCTTGTGTCTTTGTGTCTGGGTATATAACCTGCCAGTATCAAAAAACAAGTTAGCACGTTTAACGAATCAAAATCTATGGAAAATGGACATGTTTGTGCCACGACATTTTTACCTGATCGCGAAAAGTACCCAAGGCCAAGTAAGGCTTTTGAGGTACATAGAACAACTGCGATGCTGACGGTTTGGTGACATTGCCGTCTATATAAAAACCATAATTTAGTACATGATAATATCACTTAGAGAATTAGATATTGTTAATTCCATTACGCAGAAACTTCCTTCATCAAACGTAATAGTCTAGTCTCTCTTTTCTGAAATTACGAGATCAAACATAAATTAATGACTAACCAAACAATGGCCACAGATCCCCGAGAATTCGGAAAAGCGAAGACTTGCCCTACAACGAGGCAATATACGTCGATTAGTTAGCTGTTGCTTTAATTAATACATAGCCTACTTGAAAACAAATGCAACTCTTACGCAGCCATTAGGGCCTGATATCAGACAGTTCATCCCCTTTTCAACTTTGAATGACATTCCTCTCACCTATTT